CTACTTCAGTGGTAGCGCTGGCACCCGGGCAGAGTACCGCTGGTCTCTGCCCACTCAGCAACCCACCAAGGCAGTCTACCAGCCCCCCGCATAGCCGTGGTGAGGCACCTGGACATGGACAAGTTGCTATTTTATCCAGGTGTAGTAACCAGTTATTGTGGGTGGGCTGTATTGCTGTTTGTGCTTCGTGGGTGGGTTGCTGGACTAACCAGGGCACTGACCGGCAGGAGGTCAGATACCCTGTTAGTCTGGATAGTAAAGGGGAGAAATGTGGCGAAACCGGCCTCGCCACGTGTCCTTGGAGGGGGCTGCTTGCCCGCCTCTTGCCTTTGGACTATGGACCAGACTTTATGTGAATGTATTAACCCAGATAGCTATGCCATGGAGCCCATTCGTGTAGTTAAAGACTTCGGCTCCATGGCAATCGAACTGTGTGAATAGGATCTGAGCGCTATTCGGTAGTTTTGTGTGCTCAGATCCCAGCTATCTGGGGATATGTGACATGTCTGTGTTTTATGTATAAAATGTGACTTTGTGTATTTTATAATATTTTAATGCTTTGTGCTAACCATGTGCATAATGGAGTCTTACTCTCAATTATCTCCAGGATAGAAGACTTTGAAACTGGTTTGGGGCGGAAAGCCATGCTTCATTTAGTCACAAAGGACTTTCCCTTAACTTTTGAACCCCTGGTCTGACTCGTGCCATTTTTAATATGTTGTTCCCCTGAATGGATTGATTATGAAAATGTATGTTTTATGTTTGTGACATGTATATTTTAGAAGTTATAAATATTGTGTAAAAACTGTATTCCTCTGCTGGTGATAATGAGATTACCCATTGTGTTCAGTAATCATATCACAGGCAGAGGGGAGGAGTTTGTGTGGGAGTGTCTGGGTGTATTGTACGGATTGATTAGTTGTTTTGTAACGCCCTGTGGGCTGTACTATGTTTGTGGATTGGGAATAAAAGAGACTGTATGTGACAGTACAGGGAGTTCCTGTTTTAACCCTCAAAGTGAAGTGTCGTCTCATTATTGGGGGAAGGATTTATTGTTTGACTGCTAGGAGAGTAAACCTATTCGTATGGTTCCTATTCAACTGTCTACAGCATTCATATGCTTGAGAGGATTCATATGCTTCTCTGGTTCGGTGGTTGTGGTGTCTGCTGCAGTGCTTGGAGTCCTCAGGAAGCGCTAGGAGCATCCTTTAACGGAGGTACCCAGTCGAGGTGCCAGGCGATCCGTTACACCCTTCTCAGTGGTCTTACGTGTTCCCAGATTGCAACGCTGCAATCTATAATGAATACAGCGACAAAGCTCATTTTCCTGTCCGCTCTCACCTCCCACGCCTCCCTGCTCTGTCAGACCCTGCACTGGCTTCCAGTTAGATATAGTGCTCAATTAAAAATTCTGGTACTTGCCTACATAATGCTGCTCCAACCTACCTATCCTCCCTAATACACAAGTATGTCCCGTCGAGGCCCCAACACGCTGCCAAAGACCTACATATATCCTCTATCCGTACTCCCACCTCTGATGCTAGCCTCCAAGATTTCTCCAGGGCAGCACCTCTTCTGTGGAGCTCCCTTCCCTTCTCCATAAGACTTCACCCAGTCTCCACTCGTTCAAAAAATCATTGAAAACTCACTTCTTCAAGAAAGCATATCAATTAAACTGTTAGTAGGTTTTTATCCCCCACCCCCCATGACTCCTCTCCTGCAACTGTCAAAGAAGACTTTATTAAAGAGTGGTCAGACATGCTAGAAAACTTTTTTTGGCATGATAAGTCTTATTATTAAAAGGAGGAAACATACCCTAAGTAAATTAGACGAAGATATAAATAGAATACAGAACTTCATTATGAACAATACATCTCCAGAAGAGTATTCTAATATCACTAGCAATATCCAATTTACTATTGAGAAAATAGAAAAAAATGTGATAGAAATCAAGAAAAGAAAGTATATCAGAGATAAAACTGATTATGCCAGGAATCAGGTGAGAACTTACCATAAAAGAGAAATTAAAAGGAAGGCATATATAAGGATCCAGGAGGATACAAATAGAGGGGAATACTCTGTTGACATTAGGAATAGAAACCAAGTGGGAACATCTGCCAATGCATTCAAACCCAGAACTCCAAGCAAAGAAAAGAGACAACAATGTGAGACGGTTAGATATAGACATAACAGGAGAACCCCAGAAACCACCAGAACAAGATTATACTCCACACCAAGGGAGAAACAGAGAGATAATGGAAAAATAAGAAGAAACGATATTCAAACACAAAACAGGTTTGAACCTCTTAATAGATCCCCTAGAGATGAGGATTTTTGGGGAAACACAAGCAAGAGGGAAATACAAACATCTAGAGGACATACACAAATCCCCTGGGGAAAAAATGAGAGCCCTAGAGGAAGGGGAAATAGAGGAGGAAGAAATGTACAGAGAAGGAAAGAGGAACAACAAAAAACACAACCAAGTGGCATTTTCAACCGCACTGAGAGAGTACTCACAGAACCCCAGATAACTTTATTAAATAGAGGCCTTTCATTTGCCCCGACAAAAATGCTAGATAGGTTAAATTTTTTTATAGACCTTAATAAATTTAAACGTAAATTGTGCCTTAAGAAATTCTTTGCCAAACCATCTATAAATGAACTTAACTCTCGTACTGAGTATAACCAATTTGTACATACAGAATTGAAAGACACTTCAAAATTCTTTCCAACGAATGAGATTTCGGATGAAATCACTACATTTGAAAAAATGGTTATGTATGGTTTACATAGAATAGGGAAGACATGGAAACAAGACTGGAACCTTAACCAAACAGAAAGGACAGCTTTAAAAGATCTTAGAGATGATCACACCCTCGTTGTCAAACCAGCGGACAAGGGGTTGGGATTGTCTTGCTTGAGAAAATAGACTACATAGAAGAATCTTTTAGAATATTAGGTGATAATAAGACCTATAAGATTTTGAACAAGGACCCTATAGTGGATTTTAGAAAAGGTTATATTGGATTAATAGATAAAGGAAAAACATTGGGAATTTTAAATAAAAAAGATTATAATTTTTTGAATGTTTTAAACCCAAGAACGCCAGTTTTTTATTATCTCCCAAAGGTCCACAAAAATAGCGAAAAACCACCAGAACGCCCAATTGTTTCGGGGATAGGCTCCATTTCAAGTAAACCTTCGCAATATGTAGATAGATGCCTACAACCAATGGTACAGAGATGTCCAAGCCATTTAAAAGACTCTCTTGGCCTTCTTACAATTTTTAAAGACCTCATTTGGGATGAGAATTGCTTTTTAGTTACCTCGGATATGGGATCCCTTTACACCATTATTTCACACGGGAAGGGATGCCAATCCACAAAGTATTTTTTAGAACTTTTTAAAGTCTTCCTCCAAATCCAGATTGATTTTATTTTGGAGGCTATTCAATGGATTGTAAGTCACAACTATTTCTGGTTTGAAGAACTTTTATTCCAGATCTGTGGTATGGCGATGGGCACCAGATTCGCACCAAGTTATGCCATTCTGTTCATGTCCCTATGGGAACACAATTTTGTCTATGGTGGACATGATTGGTCTGTGAATCTGGTGCTCTATCGCCGGTACATAGATGACATAATTTTTATATGGATGGGAGTGAAACTTCACTACAAAATTTTCTTGAATTTTTAAATACCAATGATTGGAGTATCCAGTTGACAAGTGATTTTAGCAAACAGAATGTGAATTTTTTAGATCTTAATATTTATCTGGACAAAGATAGAATCAAGACCAGAACATACTTCAAACCAGTGGAAGAGGGAAGCTGTAATTTTTCCCCGTGGCCTAAGAACGTACCAAAATCACAGCTATTGAGGATAAAAAGTAACTGTACAGAGGAAGATGATTTTGGCCAACAATCCAGGAAGGTTTTAAGTGATTTTAGAAAGAACGGATATGAAGAAGAACTTCTTAATAAGGCATTAGAAGAAACCTTGTTAAAAAATAGAGTAGACCTTTTAATTACAAATAGAACTAAGAGTGTTAAAAATGACCACCAGTTCTCGTTCATTTGTGATTTTAACTGTAAATATACAGAGTACAGAGAATTGTGAAAAAAAATTGGCCTATTTTGTAAGGGGATGAGATTTTAAACTCTATACTCCCAGAGAAGCCAAAAATAATTTATAGGGGAGTGCTGAACTTAAAAAATAAACTAGTCCATAGCCATCACCCTAAAAATAAAAATGAAAGATTCCCCATAAAACAGCTGATCACATGTCACTCTAAACGAGTGATTTATATCATACAATGTACATGTGGCTTACTCTATATAGGAAGAACCACAAGATCACTCCACATAAGAATCCAAGAACATGTACGTAATATTAGAATAGAGTTTGAAAAGCACAGCCTCTCCAATCATTTTAAAATGAAACATGATAAAGACCCGACTCAACTTATATTCTTGGGAATACAGAATGTAGAAAGTAATTGGAGGGGGGAAGATCTCTTAGCTATGTCACTTTTTATAGGATTTTTATTATATATTTTTTTTTATATGTATATGATATTTATTTATATATATTTAATAGAAATATGTTTTAAGATCTTTCACAATAGGGCTAATATTACTATTATTATCACCATTATCTCTGACCACCAAGAATGTGGATAATACTTCTATTATCTATGGACTCTTAGCACTGAATCTTGGGACACTCTAAAAGCATACTCTTTTCAAACTGCACAAACTTTTATTCACCATGAGACACTTTTTAAGTATTTCACCTGTGGCAAACCTAGCCACTTCAGATTAGGTTATTCTATGTCTACAGGTTGTCCTAGAAAAGCTGGTCCAATTCTGTTAGGTTCTGTATTTACTTGTAACTGTAATAGAGAGCATTCGTATGCTAGCAGCCGAAAGCCGCTAGCATTCATATGGTAGTTTCACGAACAGTGACTTTCCACACTGTTCGTGAAACGATTAAAGTACCAAATGGGAGCCCACACACAGGGGGTCGTGTGGCTCCATTAACCGATTGCAACATTGTAGCAATCGGCAGCTAATTGATTTCCCGGGTGGCAAGCGACGGGATCCAACCTTACAGCCGAAAAGCGGTGTTCGGGTAATTGAAACTACCGAACAGGAAAGTGAATGGCAATTCATATGCAACAAAGAACCGAACACAGAGGTGAATGAAGACAGATTATACTGCATTGAAACGGCAGACATTGAAGCTGTGCTTATTGCCGAATTGATGGAGGGAGACAGAGCTCGCCGTGCTACACCCCCACCAGACATGGAAGAGACCCCATTCCAGAAAGAGATGAGAACCAGACTGGAATTTCTACCCCAGACAGTACCGCTGGAAATGCTGACGGTACTGATGTGCAGGAGTATGTGATGGCACACAGACCGCAGGATTCACCCTCCAGAGCAGAATCTACTGCTGCTGCAGTCACCAGCGAGGTAAAGCCTAAGGATACCACATCATGCTTTTAAAATGTTTTGTGAAGACAAAGATGAGATTGATGGGTATCTACAGGATTTTGAGAGACTATGTGACCTGCATGATCTGGAGCAGGCAGTGTGGGTACCTTTACTGGCAGGCAAATTATCAGGTCGGGTAGCAGAAGCATATCGAGCCATGCCCAGAGAGGACAGCAAAAATTATGCCAGGGTAAAACAGGCCATATTGGAGAGATATGCCATTACCCTGGAGTCATACCGGCGCAAGTTTCGAGGGCTGCGCAAACCGGATAAAGATTCCCACGCAGAGTGGGCACACAAGCTGGATCAAGCCTCCCAGGGGTGGATACAAGCTAGCCAAGCTACCACCATGGAGGAGTTACGTCAACTGCTATTGTTGGAGCAATTGTACAAGGGTCTGACACCAGAGGCACAAGAATGGGTGAGAGACAGAAAACCCCTCACCCTAACAGAAGCGGCACGACTGGCGGACCAGCACTATGACGCCAGGAGACATGATGGCAACCTCAATCGAGGGTATCCTCGACCGTCCACCCAACCTACTACAGCTACCACTACTGCACCCACAACAACCCCATTCCGGCCAGCAACTGGGGGGCAAACTCCACCGCCTCGATACAATGGCCGATCTAACATTCAGTGCCGTACCTGCAAGCAATGGGGCCATATGGTGAGAGAATGTACACAGAACCGGAGCCGGCAAGCATGGAGCCAAGTACGACCGAACCCAGCACCACGAGCAGCCGCGCACCATTCCCGAGCAGAGCCAGCACCCCAGGAGCTACTGTTTAATCACACAGAAGAGCCCCTGGGACTATTGCATGATGTGATGTCTGTGCAAGCCACAGACAATAGGCACCCTAATCGCCAGATGGTAACATTGGAGGGGAAGGAGGTCCAAGGGCTCATAGATTCAGGGGCCACTCTGACTCTAGTAGCACCTCATTTGGTTCCAGGCTCGGCGCACACAGGCGGATCCGTGGCAGTTCGAGTAGCAGGGGGAGTTACTTCACGGTCGAAGTAACCCACCAACCGCAAAAGTACACTTGAATTGGGATGTGGGGGAAGGGATGGTGGAGGTGGGCCTGATGCAAAAACTGCCAGCAGATGTCGTATTGGGAAACAACCTGGGCCGAATGACTTTACACACTGTTCGTGAAACGAATAAAGTACCGAATGGGAGCCCACACACAGAGGGTCGTGTGGCTCCCATTAACATAGAAACATAGAATGTGACGGCAGATAAGAACCATTCGGCCCATCTAGTCTGCCCAATTTTCTAAATACTTTCATTAGTCCCTAGTCTTATCTTATAGTTAGGATAGCCTTATGCCTATCCCACGCATGCTTAAACTCCTTTTACTGTGTTAACCTCTACCACTTCAGCTGGAAGGCTATTCCATGCATCCACTACCCTCTCAGTAAAGTAATACTTCCTGATATTATTTTTAAACCTTTGTCCCTCTAATTTAAGACTATGTCCTCTTGTTGTGGTAGTTTTTCTTCTTTTAAATATAGTCTCCTCCTTACTGTGTTGATTCCCTTTATATATTTAAATGTTTCTATCATATCCCCCCTGTCTCGCCTTTCCTCCAAGCTATACATGTTAAGATCCTTTAACCTTTCGTGGTAAGTTTTATCCCGCAATCCATGAACCAGTTTAGTAGCCCTTCTCTGAACCCTCTCTAAGGTATCAATATCCTTCTGAAGATACGGTCTCCAGTACTGTGTACAATACTCCAAGTGAGGTCTCACCAGTGTTCTGTACAATGGCATGAGCACTTCCCTCTTCTACTGCTAATACCTCTCCCTATACAACCAAGCATTCTGCTAGCATTTCCTGCTGCTCTATTACATTGTCTGCCTACCTTTAAGTCATCAGAAATAATCACCCCTAAATCCCTTTCCTCATATGTTGAGGTTAGAACTCTAGGAAAGGGATTTTTGTACCGCAAGCCCCATTTCAAGAGGCGCACCCGGTAACCACAAGGCAACAGGCTCGCACCACGTCTTCATCCACACACTCTGAGGCTCAGGTAAGAGACAATGTATCCCCCATGACTCGTATTCCCTGCGATACCCTGACTGAATTTGGGGCAGAGGTTAAGGTAGACCCTACGCTGAAAGTGTATAGGGTGACCTCGATTCAGGCAGGATTAGAGGGGGTGCGGTATGCTTTGGGTTATTGTACCTGTGACAAGACCAATTTCGCCACATTGCATTGGAGAAGCCTGGTTGCTCGCCTGTTGCCTTTGGATTATGGCCCCATGTTAAAAGGCTTGATTTTCCCCTGCAAAGACATGAAAGCCGGGTCATTTGGTGCTTGCCCTGTTTGAGTGGTGATACCCCAGATAGCTATGCCATGGAGCCCATTCGTATAATGAAAGACTATGGGAAAGACTTTGGCTCCATGGCAATTGAGCTGTATGTGTGTGCTCTGAGCGCCATTCAGAAATAATGTGCGCTCAGATCTGAGCTATCTGGGGATATGTTGAATGTACCTGCTTTGTGCAATGGCTGCACAGTTATATGTTTTTATGTGTTTTATTGTCTTTTGCTGCCATGTGTTCAATGGAGTTTTGCCTCTGTCCTTGGAGATAATTGGATTACTTCACAATTATCTCCAGGATAGAAGACTCTGTGGAGTCTTAAAAGCCATGTTTCCTTTGGTCACAAAGGACTACGATCTATCTTTTGAACCACTGGACCAACGTGGATGATTTTGACAAATGTTTGTATTTGGAGTATGCTGATTCTGAAAATGTAAGTATGTTTATGTGAATGTGATGCATACTTTTCAAGTTATGAATAGTGTGGAAAAATTTTATTTCTCTGCTTGTTATAATTACATTACCCATTGTGTAAGGTAATTGTATCACAGGCAGAGGGGAGGATTTTGTGTGGGAGTGTCTGAGTGTATTGTATGTGTTTACTGGGTGTGTTCCAAAACCCTGTGGGTGGTACTAATATGTAAGAATGTGTACATAAGCACAATAAACCCACAGCTCTGACTGTTCACTGCTTGACCCTCAACACAGAGCTTTGTCTCGTTCTTGGGGGGATTTATTGTATGCTGTTCCAGTTTGACTGCTAGGAGTGTAAACCTATTCGTATGGTTTTTCCTATTCGGCTGTTTACAGCATTCGTATGGTTTCCTGTTCGGCGGTTGGTGTTCTGCAGTAGCTGTGCCTGTGTCTCTGGAAGGGAGAGATCTACTAAGCGGTTTAACCCTTTTATGCCTGGGGTGCGTTACAGTACCGTATTGCTGAAAGGGTAGTAAATGTTACTACTAGACAGCTGGTAGTACCCCAGAAATATCGACAGGAACTCCTTAGGATCGCTCATGACATTCCGTTGTCTGGGCATCTGGGTATGACCCGAACTAGATACCGACTGACCCATGCATTCTTCTGGCCAGGTATATCTAAAGATGTGAGGCAATACTGCCAGACGTGTGACATCTGTCAGAGAGTAGGCAAAAGGGGTGACCGACACAAGGCCAAATTATGCCCGCTACCCATCATAGTTTAGTAGGGTGGCTGTAGACATAGTAGGACCCTTACCCAAACCCAGTCCCTCCGGCAAGAAGTGTGGAGTGTTGATCATTATTTAATGTGTAGTTTGCAATATATATATATATATGTATTATATGGTATGGTGCATATATATATCTAATATGAATGTACATTTAGCTGTATAACATAGGTGTATGAAATATTGCAGGCCTTTTTGCTTAGATTTGAAAAAGTTAAATTTTCAATGACATTTCCACAAGGTTAACAGCTAAAAGGTTGAAGTTAAATTAGAACAAACACATGTGTTGTCAGTCAAATGTATACAAAACACTTCACTTAATTTTGAAGCTAACTATAGGCAGAGCCATCTAGGGTATATCCCAAACTTAGATATTCAATACATTACATCTTGCAACAAGTTAGAATACCTTTTTGGGAGTATTACACAGGTGGGGGCTGCTTTATGGAGGACAAAATGCCTATTTAACTGAAGGAGAAAGAGTGTGACGTTGTCATTCATTCACCATTCATTCATTCATCCATCTACTCTTACTCTGCCTGCTGTCACCACACATCTGAAAGGTATACAGGGACATATGCTGTAGCCACTAATACATTTGGTAAGATTAATTATTTACTGACTATTTTGCATTCTGTAACATTCATTCAATACACTTTTATCTTATATTTATTTGAGTCATTGTTTCATTTATTACAATATTATTACAGTGCCTTTTGGGTCTTCAGACACTGGATTATTTTAGTGATAGTCAAGTTATCATCTAGAATGGTTAAGGAAAACAGTATTTATAAGTAATTTGGGAACGGAAGGGTCTGCTCCGTATACAGCTATAGATTGCATAAAGACACACTAAGCTTAGAATGACCCGGAGTGACCTTTTGTCGGTAAAGGTCCACATCATACCTGAAGCGAGCCATAACTATCAATATTGAAGGATCACCGAAAACCGACATTCTGGGGGCCTCGTCCTTGGGTGGTTTAGTCGTGTCTTTTGCAGTGGAGAACACGGTGTACTCAGTTGTTGGAAGGATCCTCGTTTTGTAAGTATGTCTTTCTTTAAGTTTCCAAATAGGATAGGTAATCTTGAATCTAGATCATGTGACCCTATTGATTTAAATACTGAACAGAGATCCGTTAATTCCCCTGTTTTGTTTTCTTTCCCTTCTGTGTTTCAAGAATATATAAAATGTTGGATAAAAAAATATGGAGGTCCATTTAAGTTGGGCGAAAATATAAGTGATGCACTGTTTCTAGAGGACATTTTTCAAGTATTACCCTCAATAATGCAGCTTAAAGATGACAAAGTAAAAAAGGGTAGAAGTTTGCAAGCTTTACTAGATATGCTAATGATGTCCCTCCAAATGATTGAACAGTTGCAAGTTAGTTTTAATCTGCAAGCTTCTCTTATTGATACGCTGCATGTACAATTAGAAGATTACCGCACCCAGGCACAAAATGCAGCTCACGCTGCTGGATTCTTACAAGATAAAGTTCATAATTTAGAATCCAAAAATATAATCCTTGATCAAGCTGTAGACACCTTACAATGCCTGCGTACTAAGCACTCTCCTTCTTTAAAACTAGGAGGTAAGGCTCGGGGAAGTGCTATATTTAAAAATTCCCTGTTGCTCATGAAAACAAATGGTATCAGATTGCCACCTTGTCAGTCGATCTTCCTTCTGCTTTAATTAATGAAGACGACGTTGCTATGTGGATGGAGCATAAAAATGAAAATATTGAGTTTCCTTCACAAACAATTTCTGTCCCCTCTGCTCCTCCCACGTATACACATTTGTATCCAGAATTGCCAATTGAATTTTCTAAAACTAATCTTGTTCCTTGTAATCCTATAACACGTGGTCCTCAATTAGAGGCTAACGAAGTGTTATCAGATGACAAATTGAAGGAAATTTCTGCACATCATGCTAGAATAGAAAAAGAATATAATGATATGGAAATGACTTTACATAATGTAAAACAATCATTTTCACAAGAACACCAGCAGAGACGAGACTTAGAAGCAGAGTTGTCTGAAGCTGCACGACTATTAACTGAGACTAAAACTGACCTTGAACGTTTTAGGCTTGACAATGACGAGTTACAACGGGTAAATGACAAACTTAAGGCTACTACTAAAAAACAAGAAAAGACTACTAGCATATTGCATGATACTACACAAGACCTTAAGACTGCTAACAAACAACTGCAAAGTGACCTTAAAGAGGCTAAAACTAAACGACATGTTGTTATTTCTGATCCTGTTAATGTACACATGACAGCACCTTCTTCTGTGAAAGCGACAGAAGCCAGGGCTGTCTTATCTGAAATAGGACAAGCTCCTGTAAATAAGGGTACTATTGAGGATTTCAATAGATTCACACATTGGATCGGAAAACTCCTTCGCTGGGGTTCTTCGGATTCACAACTAATAGAGATTTTTCTGAAAGGTCTGGGATCCTGTTCAGCTGTCATAGAAGGTTTTGCACAAACTTTTTCTCAGCTGTTAGAACGGTGTTGCCATAAACTATTTCATTTGTCTAGTCCGTTCCAGATTAACAAAGCTTTTATCTCACTTCCTAATGAGTCTATCACAGAAACTGCTAACAGAGTAATTGTTTTCCTTGCTGCTCTTACTAATGGGGCTACTTCTTCAGAAAAACGTTCTGAAATACAAGCTGACCTTAAATTGGATCCAGCAGTGCGGGAGTTAATTTTCACTCTTGTACCAAGTAACATTTCTCATGTTATGACCATCTGTTACGGTGACCTGAGGAATGTTGACTTTAATTCATGGCTTGACCGTTTGCAAGTTGAAATGGATAGATATTCTAAACCCTCTCCGATTTCTGAAATAACATATCAGGCTCAAAGATCTTGGAGAGATGGACAGCAATTAAATAATGCCTCTAATACTTGGCAGACAGAAGGTCCACAGTACCGTGGACGGGGTGGTTTTAGAGGTAGATTTAATACTACAAGACGTGGCATAGGAAAAGATGGTGAGTGGATTCCCTTGAGGGATATTATTGCATCTCAAAAAGCGTTACAACATTCTGTTGAGTTACTTAGAAAACAAGTAGAGCAAGCTAATTTAATGCCTGTTGCAACTCTAACAACTTCCCTTCCACCCCTCTCCTCCTGCTAGGGATGTGTTTTCTCCTCTCCTCTTTGTCTCGACTGGCCTCTGGATCTAGATAAATGGGGACGACCAATGTGTACTATGTTGGTAGATGGGGAGAAAATTAACACTCTAATCGATACAGGGGCAGCTGCTACACTAATATCTGGTACACCAAAAACTAGCAAATTTACTACTGCTTGCATTGTGGGGGTTACTGGCATGCCAAAAACAGTGTATGTTGAACCTAGGACGTTGAAGATTGGCTCTAAGACTATACGTTCTGATGTGTTTTTGGAAAAAGATGCGTTATCTCTGTTGGGAGCTCCGGATATTGTAAAGTTTGGGTTTATCATTGATTTAATGAATCACATGCTTTGGAATATTGAGGGGAGTACTAGCCCTTCTGAGCATACTCGGATCGGTTTAGGCTCCAATTTGCCTCCTGTGCATGTTGTCTATCCACATGAGGATGTTGGGGCCGTAAAGGGTATTAAAATCAAACACCCTCCTGCTCCTCCTGTGGATACAGAATCTTGGTGGCATGAATATGCCGATGTATGGGCCAAAGATAGTCTAGATTGTGGTAAATCACAATTAATGGTTTCTTTGGATGGTACACACCACCCATATGTTAAACAGTATCCAATTCCACGTGAGGCAGAAAAGGATTTAGAAGTTATCATTGACCAATTGTTACAGCGTGGGTTAATTCGACCATGCCAAACTGCAGGCTCGAGTCCTGTGTGGCCTATTCGTAAAAAAGACAACACTTGGCGTTTAACCATTGATTACAGACGACTAAATGAGACAGTTTTTAGAACAGCACCTGTTGTGGCCTCTTACCCTGAACTGATTGCTAAATTAACTCCTGAAATGCAGTATTATACCGTGTTAGATCTTGCAAATGGGTTTTATAGTGTACAAGTCACTCCTGAAACTCAGTATCGTACTGCATTTGCTTTTCAGTCTAAACAGTATTGCTGGACAGTTCTTCCTCAAGGTTACTGTGATAGCCCTGCAATTTTTCACAGCATGTTAGCTCAAGCTCTAAAGTCTCATAATTTGCATAACAAAATTGTTCAGTATGTTGATGACTTGTTAATAGCTAATGATTCCAGAGAGAGTAACATTAAACTGTTAAAAAAGGTTTTGGAATGCCTTAAAAAGCATGGCTTGAAACTTAACCCTGACAAGTGTCAGTTGGTCCAACAGAAGGTTAATTACCTCGGATTGGAACTTGGTCCAACAGGCAGAAGTATTCTTGAAGATAGGGTTAAACATATTCTTTCCCTACCAAGACCTGTAGATGTGAAATCTTTACAGCAGTTTCTTGGGCTTACAGGATTTTGCAGAGAATTTGTTGCTAATTATGCTTTGCTTGCAGAACCATTATCTGACCTACTGAAACAAAACAAATTTGAATGGAATGATTCTCATACACAGACATTTTCCTCCCTCAAATCTGCATTAGCTAGTGCACCCGTTTTGGGCACTCCAG